TGTTACTTCTCCTGGATTCCTAACTCGGTAAGCTGGCCTCTTTCTTGCATAGTTTAATCCAATGTTTTATACATTTTCAATACTAATCCCATAGTAATACTAACTCTTTAACTAAACTTACACGCGTACCTAATTCAAATTTATCCCATACTAGCACTTTCTAAAAGAAGTTGCTATTCTTGCTATCAGATAAATCTTTAAGTCTATATTTACACCCTTAGTCAAACGAAATCACACAAAAATAACCGATACACGCATGTACGTCCACACATCTACCTACAAATGTAGTAAACGTGTGCACACGCATATGTAAGGACACACATGCATAAATTCTCTCCCCCATTTATATTAATTTTTGAAACCAGTCGTTACAAAATTAATTCGTACTAATTATTTGGAGTTCCTTCCCAGTTTAATTATAATCTCTTATTATAAACACACACACACACACACATACATATATATATATATACATATATATATATATATATATATATATATATATATATATATATATATATATATATATATATATATATATGTATGTATGTATGTATGAATGAGATAGTTTGCTACTGTTTAATAATACGCAGTTATCACTAACCTTTTGAGGGTGAGATGGTCTCATATACCTGAATGTATGTACTTTTGTCTACTAATGACATGTTTGCCCTACAGATGTACGTATCCCAAGAAAACCGCTTTTAACTCTCCTGATTGAAATCCAATCGAAAATCTGTTGTTAATCTACAAGAAAAGACTTCGTGGAATGGACATACGAAGTACTAACATATGCAATGGGTCATGTTTCATTGGAAAAATACGAGAAAAAAAGTAAATAATAACAGAATTATTTGTTTTGTTTCAATTAATTTGCACAACGATGTACAACTGCCTTCTCAGATCAATGGTTAAAAATGGCTTCAAGCAAGTGTAGGTCTTAGCGAGGACCTTCCTTCTTTTTGTTTTTCTTTTGTTTCGGTTCGATTGGCAGTGTACTGTTGTATTGTCGACAATAATCTGGCGGTAATTCGGAGAGGCACTCTGTATTTGTGTTGACATTTGGCACTTTGCTCAGAGATGACTGGTGAATTTTCTCGAGGTAAATGCTGCGGTATGAGCAATATACAGTGTAACCCGGATATAAGAGAGTTGTCGGGACCGGAGAAGAAGTCTCTTATATCCGGGTTTGGTCTATTTTATATACATTAACACAGGCTCTAATTTGGGACCAGAGAAAATCTCTCTTATATCCGGGTTTCTCTTATATCCGGGTTACACTGTATATTGATGTCTTTTTATTATCTTTAAGAGAAATATTGATGATGCTGATGAATCGACGAAATATGTCAAAGAAGAAGTTTTCGATATTGTCTAATATATAGGAGGCACGGTGGAGTAATAGATAACGAATAATGGATTGAGGAATCGGAGAGCCGAGTTCGAATTCCAGTCGAATCCATTACATTCACTGAAGTGTTGGGTAAAGAGGTATGAATCCTCTCCTTCTTTCACTCCCTCCCCAGCTAGGGTTGCCTTGGATGTCAACTGGTCTACCACAGAAAGAAATGGCCACCTACTACTGCGGGAAAAAATCTACCTTGTCAGTCATGATCGCCTAAGCGTGTATCACGTATGGCACATAACTGACTGACTTTCCAGTCGAATCCATTACATTCACTTACAGGCTAATACCCTTGGGAAAGATATGAATCCTCTAATAAATAGCAGGACAGACCGGGTTCTATAGCATTGGATGGCAACTGGTCTACTGCAGAAAGAAATGACAACTTAGTGCGTGAAATAATCTGCCTCATCAGTCATGTATTGAAAGATACATGATCGCCTAAGCGTGTATCATGCATGGCACATAAGTAATATATAAGAAACTTCAATACTTAGCGGAGTCAACTCCGTGTTTCGTAATTTCTCGTCGTTAGGAAAAGAATGATAAGAATGCAATCATTCTTATCAAAAGTCTTTTATTATTTCAGACTCAATGAGAATTACTCTGTCGAATGCTTTATGGATAAAAATTATGTTTACCTTGATATACTGGATGGTCCGAAAGTCTTGTCACTGCTACATAATATAATTTTCTATTTCAACGCTCTGTTGGGGTATTATTATCAAAGAGAGAATTTCACATGAACGATACCAGAATACCCATCAGTTCGGAGAACCTCTGCAATAACTTCGTAAAATATCACACAGAACATGGCACCGCATTATTTTGTACAACGAAAATGATGGTGTCCATACAGACCTTCTCGATGTGTGGCAGAGTCAATGAAAGTGAAAGAACTGAATCCAGGACATGTGATTTTGTATTTTTGGTAGGGGTGACAAGACTTTCGGACCACCCTGTAGATTTGTGGGGTAGATTATTTTCTCATTTTACTATATGTTGTACAAAAGTAGTACTCTATTTGGAACAAGAAAACAAAGAGGAAAACCAGAAATATTTAATATTTATTTTATTTAAATTAACAAAATATAAATAAACGTACAGTTTGGTAGAGAGGCTTCTCGATGTGTGACAGCGTCAATGAAAGTGAATAAACTGAATCCAGTACATGTGCTTTTGTATTATAGTATTACTTGTTCTTCTATTGTTCTCATTACTTTTTGGTAGGGACCACCTTGCTTTTTTTTAATCATTTCAACCCAAGCAAGGCGATAATGCCACTAAGACGCAAGGACTTACTGAGAGTGAATGCGAATAAAAAAAAATCTTTAGCGGGGAGAATGGACAATAAAAGAACAAGATTAAGAAAGACAGAATATAGCGATTGATGTTGCATTAATAATTTTGAAGATCGTAGTTGGTAGGGGAGCAAGAAACCGGTAGAGAGTTCCACAGTCCAGAAGTGCGGAAAAAGAAATTATTAGAATAGAACTTATGGTTATATCTAGCTAATTCAACAGTAAAACGATGAGACCTAATTGCCAATCTAGTAGTGCACTTGAATTCATGCAGTCGAGGTACCAAGCGACGGGGGTGGAGGAGAGAACAATTGCCATGAAAATATTTATAAAAAAAGGCAGAGGGTGACAAGTCACAACGACAGGAAAGTAACTGAAGTCGAGATGCCAGGTCCGGACCGATAATATTACTGACCCTTCTTTGGACTTTGTCGATAATCTCTAAAGGAAACATTTTATTTTATATATATATATATATATATATATATATATATATATATATATATATATATTGTTATCCACAGACAGACTGTTTCACAGCTCATCAGTGTGGCTAGACATCCGATTGTCTCAAGCCATTGGCGCGCGAAAGTGATAAAGGTGAATTTAGACGTATTTATTTTTAGATAAACACACCAGTTCTTTTTATAGATACAAATATTTACGTAAATGCTCTGTTTATAATAAACAGTATTAACAACATTTACCGGCCTGAATGTCCGAGAAATTTTCACAGAAAATATTCGTCCTCCGACAGGATTCGAAACTGTATCCTATACGGAACCGTCATATAGCCTGACGTGTCTATACCGACTGGGCCACAGAGGTCGATTTTACTGTATTTAAACACAATTCTCCATGATTTACATTCATATCTGCTCAATGCGTAACCAAATGCAAAAAAATGACGTCACACATTATGAAATGGACATAGTCCGACAATTATTGTTTAAGACATTTTTTATGTTTATACATTCTTTTTATAAATACAAATATTTAAGTAAATGCTCTGTTTATAATAAACAGTATTAGCGACATTTACCGGCCTATGAAAATTTCTCGGACATTCAGGCCGCTAAATGTTGTTAATACGGTTTATTATAAACAGAGCATTTACTTAAATATTTGTATCTATAAAAAGAACGTATAAACATAAAACATGTCTTAAAAATAATTATCGGACTTTGTCTATTTCATACTGTGATATATATATATATGAGAGTTGTTGAGTTTCAAAATATCTAAATCTTAGGAAAATGGGAATAAATTATTCTACATGCTTTCGATAAGATTCACACAATGAAGAAAGAAAGCTTGGAGAATTTAACACTCACTTGGCATATTGGAAGCAAAATAAGAAGTGAAAAACAGCAAATAAACTGCTTGACAAGTTTAAGTGAATGGATGGCAGAATAGACCCAAAGAGGTGTGATAAATGGATAGAGGTTACTTAGAGAAACACATGACAGGACGTTGTGGAGAGCCCTAACCACCCACGTCCTGAAAGGATATGGCATATAGAAGAAGATTTTCTAAGATTATCTTAGTCTGTTACAATGTGAATCCTCTGTGAGGATCGAAATCACTAAACAACAGTAATGCTCTGCTAGATTATTTATAAGTATATATACAGTTTTACTTACTTGAGCACAAGGGCATAAAAGAAGGTCACTCATGTGAGACTCGAACCAACTATACAAGCGAATGGCCACGTCAAAATAACTTACTGGCTATCTCTCTATGCGAAGTATTTAACGAAAAGTGTGTATGTGATATCAGTTCGTTCTCGTGATAAGGTTAAACATCTTCGTCCATAAAAGAGTTACAAACTTCTGATAAGACTTTAGCCTCGTTTCTGTTTCATTTCTTCTCGCATTACTTTATTTTCTTTCTTTTTTTTTTTTTTTTTTTTTTTTTTTTTTTTTTTGATCGTCTGCCTCTCCCAATATGCACTTCTACTTTCACGTGAGAGAATCTATCCCCTTTCTGGTCCAAATTTCTATTCCGACATGAGACTTTTTTCTCTCTCTCTCTCTCTCTTTCACAAACGCGCACACAAACACATAAAGCAACATTTGACTCGCATCATTCTTCTTATATAGATACACAACATGTAAAAGAAAAGAAACATTCGATAAGACAATAGCGTTCATTTTTCCGTAGCGTGCAACCATTTTGAACCAAATCATAATACAAAAATGGCTCAAAATTCGAGAAAACGCAGGGTCTCGCATTCACAAATTGCAATTTCCAAAATACAGGTATTCTGGCACCGTTTCATGCGTTGTTTTAAAATGTCTGTTAGATTTGTCTTCTCGCACATTGGCCTGACCGGAAGCGTGGTAGCCTACAGTATCCTTGGCGGCTGGATATTTATGGGCCTTGAAGCACCCCACGAACGAGAACTCAGGGGTGAGATAGCCAAAATCAGAGGCCATTACGTCAGACTCATAGTGAATGCTTCCGAAATGCCTTGTGACAGCGATAGATACCTTATGAATGTCACTTACAAATACATCACCGAATTTGAGAAAGAAATTGTCCAATTTATTGACGACACCGGTTGGAATGGTCTTGGTGACGAAAAGGAACTTCAGTGGTCTTATACTGGGGCCCTTCTTTACTCTGTGACGGTGATTACTACCATAGGTGAGATTCTTTCTTTCTTTCTTTCTTTCTTTTCTTTCTTTCTTTCTTTGTTTCTTTCTTGTTCCTTCCATTGTTTGTTTGTTTCTTTGTTTCTTTCTTCCTTTCTGTCTTTTTTTCTTGTTCGTTCCATTATTTCTGTCTTTTTCTTCTTTCTTTCTTACTTGTTCTCTTCTTTCTTTCTTTTTCTGTCTTTCTGACTTTCTTTCTTTCTTGTTCCTTGCATTCTTTCTTTATTTCTTTTTTGTTCCCTCTCTCTTTCTTTCTTTCTTTCTTTCTTTCTTTCTTTCTTTCTTTCTTTCTTTCTTTCTTTCTTTCTTTCTTGTTCCCTCCATTCTTTATTTATTTCTTTTCCTGTCTTTCTTTCTTGTTCCCGTCATTGTTTGTTTCTTTCTTTTTTCTTGTTCCACCCTTTCTTTCTTTCTTTCTTTCTTTCTTTCTTTCTTTCTTTCTTTCTTTCTTTCTTTCTTTCTTTCTTTCTTATTCCTTAGTTTGTTTGTTCCTTTCTTTCTTTTTTGTTCCTTTAATTCTTTCTTTCTTGTTCCCTTTTTTCTGTTTCACTCTTTGTTTCTTGCCCCTTTCTTTCTTTGTTTCTCTCCATTCCCTCCATTCTTTCTTTATTTTTCTTTCTTTCTATTTTGTGTTCTTAAATAATCAACCCGAACATATGCATATATCGACTCCTCTAACTTTCATATGCGAATATTCTTAAGAATTAATTTATACAAACGTTTCTCTTCACAGTTGGTTTGAATAACAATGTCAAAGGCATAGACCCGAGGTCGACAAACTACGACCCACAAACCAAACACAGCCTACTGTGATATTTCATTCAGGCCTCAAAAACATAAAATATACTAGTATTCTTAAATATATATATATATATATATATATATATATATATGTGTGTGTGTGTGTGTGTGTGTATGTATGTATGTAGTAGACGTCCCTGTTTTTAAACAATGTAAGTTTACCTCTACCGATTGGTGAATTCGAGTCTTTATAGAGGAAATGTAGCTTCCGCCAGGGTTCGAACCTAAGTTTCTCTTATAGAAATTCGTTTATATACAGGGTGATTGAAAAGTAACTCCCTATTTCATGTATGATAGTTATACAGGAGAGTCCATCATACGTAAAACAGGGAGTTACTTTTCAGTCACCCTGTATATTATATATATATATATATATATATATATATATATATATATATATATATATATATATATATATATATATATTATAAATTAACTGATTTAAAATATGGATTATATCAAAATTAGCTTGAAGATGAAACGGAACTAATGCTTTTAATTTAATTATATAATCAAATTTGAAATTTTTAGCTTCAGTTTTTGAAACATGGTTATTACTGTGTAGCGAAAAACCATATTTTAAATCAGTTAATTTATAATATTTATGCTCTGTAAATTTACATTGAGCACTGTTTTGTAAAAATAAAAATAAAAAAATATCAGTAAGAACACGGGATTATATATCTTACTGTTGTTTCTTTTTATTTATATATACATATATATATGTGTGTGTGTGTGTCTTTGTGTGTGTCTGTGTATGCGTGCTTGTGTTCGTGTGTGTACCGTAAATGTTCGATCTAGCAGCCCCTTTCAAATAAGGGTCCCTCTCGAATTAGCACCCTACTTTCCCCAAGGAATTTAAAATAAGCGTCCCAGAACAACTAAACCATTTTATTTGAGAAAAGAAAGCTTCACACGAGGATGCTGAGAATGATTGGAGATGTTGATATTGAAGAACTTAGCAAAATTGTATTTGCTGTTAAAAGTGACGGATTATTCTTGTTATTTATATGCTACCTTTTAAAGTCTTTATAGTTGTATATATAAATTACAATTTTTTTTTAATTAGCGCCCTGTGGAAATAACATTTTATTTAAATAAAAGACTAGTGTAATGCAACTCAAAATGGCGGACCGCGGACCGGTACCGGTACGCGAACCATCAGCTACCGGTACGCGGCCAGTGTCCAGGCGATACTAAGGAATCATTTGTAAAGATTAAGGTTATATAATTTTTGTTTTTGTGTTAATAAACTGCTTATTTTTTTTTATCCCTTTTTATGTTTTGGCATTGAATTATTTTTGCAAAATAACTACATTAAATCTAAAGCTTCGTCTACCGCAAGGAAAGTTGGTTCTCTGTGTCGCGCCAGAAGGCTTTTCTCGCCTGAGTCCATCCTTCAAATCCACAAATTAACAATTCGTCCTTGCATGGAATACTGCTGCCATATATGGTCTGGTTCTCCCACTGCTCATATCGAGGTCCTCGACAAAATCCAGAGACGGATATGCAACGTGACTGGCCCTGATCTAGCATTCCATCTACAGTCACTTTCTCACAGTTGTGCTGTGGCTTCCCTCTGTCTTTTCTACAAGTATTTTCATGGCAACTGCTCTCATGAGCTACTTTCACTGCTCCCCCATCTGCATGAATTTAAGCGTGCTACTAGTTTGGCATCTTGATCCCACAAAACAGCTAAATTTAGCCATCTCTTCTACTCCAACAACTTCTTAGCTCGCACTTCCCGTCAGTGGAACTCCCTTCCTCTTACTTGCTTCCTGGCAGCTCTAATCTTCAAATATTCAAATGTAATGTCAATCGACATCTTCTGATGCCTTGACCTTGATCCCTGTCCTTCTCTTTATCCTTTTCCCAAACACTCTTCTTTACTCTTACACTCACTCTCTGTAACCCTTCCGTGCTAGTGGGACTCCTGCTTTGCTTGGGGTGAATTGCTTAAATAAAAGTCCAAATATACGAGGTGTTTCTGAAAAGTAACGGGACTGGTGTCAAAAACAATTTATTTCAATTCCAAAAAACAAACTACATGGTTTCCCCTTCAAATTAACCCCCCCCTTGATTCTAATGCCACCTTTTCTACTCCAACAGCTTCTTAGCTCGCATTTCCCGATAGTGGAACTTCCTTTTACTTGCTTCCCTGATAGTTATAATCTTCAAATGTAATGTCAATCGACATCTTCTGATGCCTTGACCCTGATCCCCGTCCTTCTCTTTATCCTTTCCTCAAACACTCCTCTTTACTCTTATTCTCACTCTCCGTAACCCCTCTCTCTTTACTCTTATTCTCACTCTCCGTAACCCCTCTCTCTTTACTCTTATTCTCACTCTCCGTAACCCCTCTCTCTTTACTCTTATTCTCACTCTCCGTAACCCCTCTCTCTTTACTCTTATTCTCACTCTCAGTAACCCCCCTCTCTTTACTCTTATTCTCACTCTCCGTAACCCTCTCTCTTTACTCTTATTCTCACTCTCTGTAACCCTCTCTTTACTCTTATTCTCCTCTCTGTAACCCCTCTCTCTTCCTCTTATTCTCCTCTCTGTAACCCCTCTCTTTACTCTTATTCTCACTCTCTGTAACCCCTCTCTCTTTACTCTTATTCTCACTCTCTGTAACCCCTCTCTCTTTACTCTTATTCTCACTCTCTGTAACCCCTCTCTCTTTACTCTTATTCTCACTCTCTGTAATCCCTCTCTCTTTACTCTTATTCTCACTCTCTGTAACCCCTCTCTCTTTACTCTTATTCTCACTCTCTGTAACCCCTCTCTCTTTACTCTTATTCTCACTCTCTGTAACCCCTTTCTCTTTACTCTTATTCTCACTCTCTGTAATCCCTCTCTCTTTACTCTTATTCTCACTCTCTGTAACCCCTCTCTCTTTACTCTTATTCTCACTCTCTGTAACCCCTTTCTCTTTACTCTTATTCTCACTCTCTGTAACCCCTTTCTCTTTACTCTTATTCTCACTCTCTGTAATCCCTCTCTCTTTACTCTTATTCTCACTCTCTGTAACCCCTCTCTCTTTACTCTTATTCTCACTCTCTGTAACCACTTGTGTGCTAGTGGCACTCCTGTCTTGCTTGGGGGGGGGGATTTGTTTTTTAAAAAATGGGAGATAAAAAATAGTCAACTTTTATTATATTCATTACGTATATCGTTTCCCGTATAAATTAATATTACCACGAAATATTACAGGTACGTGACACATAGAAAAAAAACTAACGGTCAACCATATCAGATAGTTTGAGAAGCATTGGACTAGGGTACTAAATCGAGCATTTATGGGGTATGTTTAAAATTATGGGGAATGTTTAAATTTATGTGGTATGTTTCAAAAATGGCTGACAATGTTAAGTTTCTATTGTATTTTTCTTTTGTACAAACAAGAGACTTCTTTTTTGAACTTCTTGTTTGTAGAAATTCACCCAAAATCATTGTACGTTTCGAATACTTTCGGCTTATCGATTAGCCATTTTCAAGGATTTTGATCCATAGTGATTTTCTAAGCGTAGGATAATGGTTCGGAATTGCTAATCGTAGAGCCGAGTTCCAATTTTAGTTGGGTTCGTTATATTCCCTTACGCGCAAATACTCATAGGAAAGCTAAGAATCCAGCTCTTCTCCTTCAAGCTATGGGTTAATTAGTGAGACTTGTATCTCTAAAATCATTATTATCTCCCTAAAAATAAAATTGCGTGCAAAAATATTTAGATTCCAGCATTAAATAACCTACACAGCATGTAAGTGTAAACGGTTTATAAGATCCGTCTTGGACTCAAATTATGTGAGCGTCAGAGATGCAGATGTGGAGCTTCCATCGATGAGTTTGGTTTGCATCCTCTCTCCTGTCGTCGTAGTGCCGGCCGCTTTCCACGGCATGCAGCAATAAACGACATCATCAGAAGAGGTTTGGATGCAGCTGGGTTCCCTTTCCAAATCGAACCCGTAGGCCTCGACCGTAGTGATGGAAAGCGGCCGGATGGCATTACCATTTTCCCTTTTAAAATGGGGAAGTCGTTGATTTGGGATGCGACCTGTACGCATACATTTTCGGCCGGTAATTTAATCAGGTTGAGCCGGGGTCCGTCGCCCGGGACACAGCGATAAAAAAAATAGTTCTTCACTTATTCAATATTCTTCACTTGCTGATAGATTTTTTTTATTCCCTTGGCAGTGGAGAATTCTCGGGTTATTGGCCCTCGTTCGATGGCGTTCCTTCGGAGGATTGGCGCGAATGCATCTCGATTAAGGGACGAGCCTCGTGAAACGGAGTGGCTCTTGCAGCCTGTCTCACTGGCCATGGTTCGAAGTAATGCTTTCTCCATCATTGCGGCTGGCAGAGGATAGGAAAACCAAAAAAAAAACATTTTGTTTATAGTTACTTTGTTCAAACTATTTTTCAATAAATAAATTTTTATTGTTTAAAAATCACGCCACTGGACACTAGAGTTTCTTACGTGTTATGGATGAGAGAAAGGGTGGAGAGAAAAGCAAGAGAGAGAGAGAGAGAGAGAGAGAGAGAAAGAGAGAGAGAGAGACAGGGAGAACATGTAACGATGAGAGAGGGTCGAATTCGCTTCTTTTCTTTCTTTTTCCTTTCAAATAACTCACGACATTTAATCATTTGAAAAATATTTCAACCCAAACAAATAAACCTGAAATTTGTGAAAAATCTGAATAAAATCGAATTTAATTCCTAAAAGTTATATATTGTTTACAATAGCACGATACAAGTTCTTAAAAATGTCCACATTTAGTATTGCTTGCATATCTGAGTTGGCAATGTTCAATTCTAACTTCCCAAACTAAAAGCATTTACGGCTCCCTTTTCACACAAATTCTGGTAATTTTATTGTATTCTTTTTACTAATGGTGACACAATACAAGGCCTAAGAGCCACTCAGAGTAGAGAGTTACTGTGTAAAGTTGTATTAACGTAAGAAAGGGCAACATAACAGGAAGGATAGACAGCTAATTTTAGACTTGAAGAGGTCAAGATTTAATTAGCAAAAAAAAGTTCAGAGTTCAGGCAGAGATGTTAGGAGTATAAAGTTGAAATTAGAAGGAACCGGAAACCAAATCTTAAATAAGAAAAAAGGTATAAACATCTACTCCTGTTTAAAAGAAAACAGGGAGGAGTGAGAAATGAACGATAGGTAAACTTATCTACGCCTACCTGTGGAGCAGAGAAAAATAAAATACAAAATTAGTAAATAAATTTCAAATTTCGGGAGCAGACGCTAAGAGTAAAAGCTGCAGGAAACATTAATTGTTCAGGCGAGCTACGATCATTAGTTCCACCAGTTTAGACCTTTACAGCTAAAACCTGCCATTCTACGTACACTAGGAGAAATCAACCTCATTCCCTTCGTATTCCATTGGTAAGGAGGAAGTTCTGTCAGTTTAGAACTTTACAGCTAAGACTCACCATTCCATGTACACTAGGATGAATCATCCTAATTCCCTTCGTATTCCATTGGTAAGGAGGAAGTTCTGTCAGTTTAGACCTTTACAGACTCACCATTCCATGTACCCTGGGAAGAATCATCCTCATTCTGTTCGGCTATCCATTTGAAAGCGGAGGAATGAGTTTGTGTAAATGGATGGCCGAACAAGGTTTTGGTGAAATAAAAAAAAAAAAATTATTAAGAGTTACGAAGAACAGGCATTTGTGGAGGGCCATGATCGTCTACGTCTTGAAGTGACACGGCACATAAAGAAAAATATCAAAATAATCCCGATTATTTCTGTCTGTATCCGGATAGAAAATAAATTGAGAAATAGCCCAAAAATAGAAAGATGCGTAAAACAAGGATGCGTCTTCTCGCCGGATTTATTTAACTTATTTAACTGACAGCGAGGGGATCCTATGAGAATTTGAAGTCCTAACAGGATTTATTATTGGCGGACGCCAATGATACTGTGTTCATGGCAGAGATAGAAAGAAAACTGCGTAATATAGCTTCCCTGTGAATTTTCTATAAATACTTTCATGGTAATTGTTCTGATGAAGTTTCCTCTATGGTAAATTTTTCTCGCCAGAATCTAGTATATATTTATGAGTCTATCATTCGACCTTGCTGCTAAATCTGGTCTGGTACTCCTGTTATATATTTAGATATTCTTGATAAAATCCAAAGAAGAATCTGCAATGTTATTGCTCCTGACCTGGCATCTCGGCTTCAACCACTTTCCTACCACCGTAATGTAGCTTCCCTGTGCCTTTTTCTATAAATACCTTCATGGTAATTCTTCTGATGAACTTCTCTCTATGGTACCTTAAACTTCATGAATTTTAGTGCAGTACTAAATTGGCAAATTTTTATCATTTTACAATTGAAATTCCAAGAAGTTCTATGCTGACAGTTTCTTCTTTCACACTTCTCACTTGTGGAACACTCTTTCGCTTTCATGATTCCAGATCTTCAAAAATTTAAATGCAGTGTCAGTCATTATATTCTGTCTTCTTAATATCTGTTCTTTTATTGTCCTTTTTTCATAATAGTAGTTTTTCTTATATTCACTAACATCCAGTATCCTCTTGCACTAAGTGGATTTATTGCCTTACATGATTAAAACAAAAGACCTCAGAAATAAATGTCAATTTTTCATTTCTTGTATAACCACGCACGGACGTTGTAGTAATGTCCACTTCTCTTTTACGCTACTACGGAGAAACAGCTTCCTTCCCTTCGTATTCCATTGGTAAGGAGGAAGTTCTGCCACTTTAGAACTAAGACTCACCATTCCATGTAATGGGTTGAATCATCCTCATTCCCTTCGTACTCCATTGGTGAGGAGGCAGTTCTGCCACTTTAGACCTTCATTTTCACTTTTTACAAGGCCACTCGAGGTAGAGAGTTACGTTAGGAGGCAATTTGTGCGGATAAGAGTGAAAGATAACGTTTAACCCTAGCAATGTTATTGGTCCTGACCTGGCACATCGGCTTCAACCACTTTCCTACCGCCGTAATGTAGCTTCCCTGTACCTTTTTCTATAAATACCTTCATGGTAATTCTTCTAATGAACTTTCCTCTATGGAACCTTAAACTTCATGAATTTAAGCGGAGTGCTAGATTGGCGGCAAAATCTCGTCATTTTACAACTGAAATGGCTGTTAGATGTAACCGTAAGTTCTATGCTAACAGTTCCTTCTTTAGCACTTCTCGCTTGCTTCCCAGTCAAGTTTGATCATCAAAAATTTAAATGTCAATCGTTATCGTCTCTCTTCTTAATTCCTGTTATTTTATTGTTCTTTCGACTTAATAGTGTTTTTTTCTCATATTATCTAACACTCAGTAACCCCTTGCATCTTAGTGGCTTTATTGCCTTGTTTCGGGTGAAATGATTAAAAAAAATATCTAATCTCATTTATCGTTTTTTTTAATATATCAAAATATTAACTCTTTCACCCTTACCACCAAAATTTCAGTGTGACCTTTTTAATGGGATTTCTACTGGGTCCATCGAATAACCATTTTTGTTTTTAAGAATTTTAATAACACAATTTGGGCCACTCGTAAATATAATTATATATATATATATATATATATATATATATATATATATATTGACCACTAATACTATCTATCTATCTATCTATCTATATATATATATATATATATATATATATATATATACACACACACACAGTAAGGTTCACCCTGTACAAGGCATGGGGGCCACTCGAGGTAGAGGGTTACGTTAGGAGGCAATTTGTGCGGATAGGGTGAAAGATAACGTTTAACCCTAGCCATGAACAGGTTAAGATTGTAGTGATCGGGGAAATATCCTCTTGGGAGTCGGTTTCACAAGGCGGTGTTTCGCAGGAAGAAGCTGTTCGAGTGGAACTTACTGATGGAACACGGATGGAATGAGGGTGGTTTGCTACAATGTAAGTAGCATGGTGTGACTTTGCCGTGAACGTTTGAATTGGCGGGACCAGGTCATATAGTTCGCCCGAGCACTTTCCGTGGAAGTAGCGAGGTGAGAGGTTAGAGAATAATTCGTCACCCACAAGTGCGCGGAGACGCTTTTGGATTCCATCAAAGCTGGAGAGTGAGGTCCTGCCACTAAAATGTTTGTTTATAAATTTGTTTCTCCGAGCAGGGACTTATTTTCACTGCAAACTTGTTGTATTTTTGTGTGAACACATCAGTATGGTGCAAATTTTCTTTTTCAAAACAATGTAAACTTTAAAAGTTCTTATTTTTCGTTGATAGGAATTAGATCAAATTAAAATAAATATTAAATTTAACTGCTACAAATTTTGCGTATTATACACGAGAAATTGCTATTTGTTTTTATTCTTTCCCAAAAATCTCGTATGCTAAAGTTAAGATTGCGGATTATACATGAATAATTATTAAATTACTTAACATTGTCTGGCATAGTGGATCGACTACAGGGGATAGAATTTATTACACTGTTAATGTTATATAGGAATGAAGTGTCTCTGCCGACACTTGAGTTTGAACATAGATCGCCAGTGAGCAAACACAAGTGATCCCATTATTGAATTAAGTAGACCACGTAACCATAGAGGAAACGCATAAGTAGGAGGTTGTGTGACGTCTAAACGATCACCATTTCTAGTCTATCCTCTATTACTATACGTATCGCTAATTCTACTCTATCCTCTATTCACTATAATATTTCTCTATTCGGATCACGATACGGATTATTATTCGAGCGAGTATTATCGAGCAAGTACTATTAGTACGTGTGTTATTCGAAGGCTTCTGACACCAGTATTGTTCAACAGCGTTACTATAGTTGTATCTGCGATTACAAAGTCTCTACTTCAACGAGCATTACTAAAGTGACAATGAGTATTCGTTGACATCACAAAAGTTAATAATCTGCAAAACTTAAAAATGTTCCATATTGAAACCTCTTTTCGTATTTTTTTAATCATTTCACCCCAAGCAAGGCAATAAAGCCACAAAGATACAAGGGTTTACTTAGTATGGTAAAAGAAGACATTAAGATTGATTGGTTGTTTTTCTTTAGCGGCATATCAATCTCTATGGTTTATTTAATACCGAAATCTAATTATTTTTTAACACAATTTTATTTTATTTTGGGAGATAATAATGATTCAAGTTTTACTAATTAACCCATAGCTGGAGGGAGAAGAGATGGATTCATACTTTTCCCAAGGGTATTTGCGTATAAGTGAATATAACGAACTAGACTGGAATTGGAACTCGACTCTCGGATTAACGATGTTATTATGCATTACACCACCCGCACATCAAATCTTACAGCACCTAGTATTCCTAAGCTGTCACCCATCTAGATACTGACCAGGCTCGACGTTGCTTAAATTAGGTGATCCTACGTGAACCGGTGTTTCGACGTGATATGGACGTAACTCACATCATTATGGAGAGAGAACAAAAAAGGAACAAGAAGACGGAAGATAACCATTGTATTTAATAAGCTTGTCTATGATGGCACAAGGTTATCAGTCTGGGAACACTCAGGAAGGATCGAACCTCACTACAGTAGTAATTGTGCGCAATGTTGCTGCTTATTGCTCCACGGCGATGTGTTTTATTTATTTAAGGCGCCCAAAATTGACGCCAGTGTAGCTTATTTAAATGGTACAGTGTAAAGAAGTGGAAACTTTATACGAAGCCTCAGGGTAATTTCTCAATGTACCATCTTTTAGCCACGTCTCTACACACACACACGCGCACATATACATATGCACACGCCGATACTATCAGCCTATACATCAAGATGTTCATTTGAAGATATATTCCACATGTTACAGCTGTTATCTCCAGCGATAAGACAAAAAAGAAAATTCTGAGTTGAACAGGCTTTAGACTGAATATTTCTTTACGCATATCAATTGCCTTGAAATAACCAAAGGATTGTCCAGATTTTAAAGAATAAAGAAACCTTACTTTGTTCGAAAATCTTAGCTGAAATATAACCCATTACTATTATATTTGGCTTACGACCGTATCGCGTTGAAACACCGGTTCTCGTACGAGTTCCAATTTCCGTTGGCTTTGTTATATTCACTTACGTGCGAATACACTTGGGAAAGATATGAATCCCTGTCTCCCCTTCACAGCTATGGGTTGATTAGTAAAATCTTAAAAAAAAATGGTTACAGTCTAAACATATTTTCTGGCTTTAAATCACCTGAAAAAGGTTGATAAACAGTAAAAATGAAATCCATCAATCATCAAAAAACTATTATTTAAAAAAAAACAGTAACATTGTTTCATCCAAGAAATGAAGACAACTTAAGACTATTAAGTCGATAAGGAGTAAATAATCAATTACGAGTAAACAATCAATTAGGTGCAAGCAATGAATTAGATATAAACAATGAATTAGGTGTAAAAAATCATTTAGGTATAAACAATCATTAGATGCATGCAATCAATTAGACGTAAACAATTAATTAGTTGTAAACAAGCATATGTAAATAATCAATTAGGTGTAAACAATTAGATGTAAACAATCAATTATGTGTAAACACTCAATTAGTTGTAAATAATCATAAGTAAACAATCAATTATGTATAAGCAATCAATTAGATGCAAACAATCATAAGTAAACAATCAATTAGGTGCAAGCAATCAATTACGTGTAAACAATCAATTACGTGTAGACAGGTGTAAACAATCAATCAACAAAGAAAAGTTAGTAAGGCTTCTTTGTTGATTGTTTACACTTAATTGATTTCTGTTTTAATTTCTTGGATGAGGAGTTATTATTTACATTATTTATATTCGGACTATTGTCGTCATCTTTGTTGTTTGCTAACAGAGAATGTGAGTTCAATCCCTGGGTCGGTAAGTGTGTACTTGCACTCAATGAAAACAAGCGATCAATAACTCAGCAGTACTAAAAATAAAAATTAGACGATATATTGCTAGATATGGACTATGGAACAGTCTACCCCCATAGATTAAATAAAGAGTTCAGTTCAAGATTCTCAGTAGATCGATATACACCTAAGGAAGGCCGGGGGGTGGGGACAGCGGCCGAAACGTTGTAATAACAACAACAAAGACAAGGGCTATAGTAAAATTCTCATCAAATTCAACGCTTGACTCATCTGGAGTCCCTACCCCTGATTTTTTCCCCTAGAACTGAGGCTCTGTTGAGTGACATAAACATAACCTCATCGATGGTTTGGAGTATCGTCCTTAGATTAGACCCATATAAGGCTAGTGGTTGGGGTGGGATACCAGCCTTTGTCCTGAAGAAATGTACTCCTGAACTGACACCAGTCCTCTCATATAGTTTGGAGTATAATTATATAAATTGCTTTCCTGTTGGAAGTCCTCTTTTGTTGTCCCTGTCTTTAAGAACTCCGGTGACCCTTCTGACCCATCTAACTACCGTCCTATAAGTTTCCTACCACTCTTCAGCAAAGTCTCTGAGGTTTTAATCAACGTCAAAATGGTGAAGCACCGTACATACCGTGATTTGCTCTCAGGCAAGCAATATGGTTTCCCCTTTACCTGGTCCACCGCTGACGTGCTCACGGCCATAAATGAATGAAGCATTTGACAACAACGGAGAAGCTCGAGTCGTAGATTTAGATATCTCTAAAGCGTTTCATAGGGTCTTGCACGCTGGCCTTCTTCGTAAGCGTCATAGATACGGCAAGACAGGACGATTATTTGAATTACTTAAATCATTCCTATCAAACCGTGAAATGAAGGTCGTCCTAAACAGGTTCTCCTTCAGTTCCTTTCACACGAACGCTGGTTTTCCCCAAGGCTCTGTCCTGGGTCCTACAATGTTTCTGATCTTCATCAACGATCTTCCTGATGTCATCATCTCCCAAGTTGACATCTACTCTGACGACACTACTATTTACTCCTACTTTAATAATAGAACCAGCATCGTTGACAAAACTAACCTGGCCGTAGACCTCGAGAAGAATCTCCAATGACTGGGGCAGGAAATGGCTTGTAAACTTGTAATGCCTCTAAAACGAAACTGCTCTCAGTTATCGAATAGAGAACCCTCCCTGCCTCCCATCAGAATGGCAGATGCCCAACTCCACAAGAGCGCCTCTCTGTGCCTCTCTGCGCCTGCTTGGTCTCGCGTGTCCACTGACCTACTTTGAATCTATAGCTTCATCTACCGCAAGGAAAGTTGGTTCTCTGTGTCGCGCTAGCAGATTCTTCTCGCCGAAGTCCATCAATTCAAATCCACAAATCAACCATTCGTCCTTACATGGAATACTGCTGCCATATATGGTCTGGTGCTCCCGCTGTTCATCTCGAGGTCATTGACAAAATCCAGAGACGGATTGGTCCTGATCTGGCATCCCGTCTGCAATCGCTATCTCACAGACGTGATGTGGCTTCCCCCTGCCTTTTCTACAAGTACTTTCATGGCAGCTGCTCCGACGACGAGCTACTTTCACTAATTCCCAAATTGCATGAATTTAAGCGTGCTACTAGGTTGGCATCTCTGTCCCAGCCTTTCTCTATCGAAACGACTAAATGTAGCCATCTCTTCTACTCCAACAGCTTCTTATCTCGCACCTCCTATTAGTGGAACTCCCTTCCTATCACTAGCTCCCCTGATGGCTATAATCATTAAATATTCAAATGTAATGTCAATGGACATCTTCTGATATCTTGACCTTGATTCCTGTCCTACTCTTCATCCTTTTCCCAAACACTCCTCTTTACTCTCACTCTATGTAACCCTTTGCGTGCTAGTGGCACTCCTGCCTTATTTGGGGCGAATTGCTTAAATAAAAGTCCAAATATGGGAGGTGTGTCTGAAAAGTAACGAGACTAGTGTCAAACAATTTATTTCAGTTCCAAAGAACAAACTACATGGTTTCCCCTTCAAATTAGCCCCCTCCCCTTAAGTCTAATGCACTTTTCCATCCTTCTCTGCCACACTTCTGCTGGAAGGATTCTTCTTGGATGTCCCTCAGCTATGTTTTTACGGACCTCTTGATGGCCTCCACGCTTTCAAAATGGGTTGCCTTGATGATGCCCTTGACCTTGGGAAAAAGAAAAAAGTCCCACGGAGCAAGTTCTGGTGAATAAGGAGGTTTCTTCCAATACGGCGATTTTCTTCACGACCAGGAACTGCCGGATGGTCAAGGCGTTGTAAGCAGGTGCATTGTCGAGGTGAAGCTGTCACGATTTGTCCTTACACAACTCTCGTCTCTTCTCGCACACTGGGCAGAATCTCTTTGTAGACTTGCTGATTAGTCGTCTGGCTCTGCGGCAATAACTCACTGTGGACGATGCCTCTCACATCGAAGAAAGTGATCTGTCCCGTTACTTTTGAGACAAACTTTCTATGTATCGAATTGATTGATTTTTTATACCTAATCGACGTAATAGTCTTGTCTTCATTTCTTTGATGAAATTATTATTATCATTATTTACACCATTTATATTTGAACTATTGTCCTCATATTTGTTGTTATTATCCCCTGATCGCCTTCTGACTGAATTTCTGGAATGAGAAGTTATCATTATTTACACTATTTACATTTCGACTATTATCCTCATCTTTGTTGTTATTATCCCCTGATCACCTTCTGTCTGAATTTCTGGGATGAAGAGTTAACATTATTTACACTGTGGGACAATACCCTAGTGCAGGAGTTTTCAAACTGTGACCCGCGGACCACAGGGGGTCCGCAATGACAAGATAGGGGGTCCGTGGACAGCAAAGACCTTTTTATGGGTGACGTGCAACTTATAAGTAACTTATAGGTCGATCATGAAATAAATTGATTTAATAAACTATTTCATAGATTTGATATACTAATATAATTTGTATCTTAAATTGATAAAGATAATGGATTCTATTCATGCAGAGAAGGAACCAAAGGATTTGAATTTTGGATCTATTTTGCGATTTCCGGCTTTCTCATTGGCTGTTAGGCGTCACGTGTGCAAATCTTCAAACGGGAGACATCAAAAAAAATTTTTTAAATCAGTTTTATGCAGCAACAACTTTCGAAAATCTGGCTCACTGTAGCCTCCGAGTATCCATTGTTATCTCGAAAGGCAGTTAAGATTTTGTTACCGTTTGCAACAACATATTTATGCAAAGCAGGATTTTCGGCACTAACCAATCTGAAAAACAAATACAGATCCAGACTTGCTCCAGAAAGTGACTTACGTGTATGTTTATCAGTAATATCGCCAAGAATTGACAGTTTGTGTAAAGCCAAACAAGCACATCCTTCTCACTAAGTGTGTATTAAAAAATCCTCTGTGTGTAATTGACAATAAAACTATTTGTTAAATACTATTACTGTTTTCATTTACATGTAAAATTAATATTTTAATATAACAAAATTTAATTTTGTTACATTTTGCAGCAACATGCAGCATTAATTTATTTGAACA